TATTCCCCAAGGAACGTGACACATGTGTGTTGATATTTTGAGCATGTTGTTCGATAATTTTCTTCTTTAGTTCTGAGAGACTATTTACTACTCCACGCAAATTATTTAACATTTCGGCTATACCATCGCAGTTCATAGTTACAAGTTCTTGATATTTTCCTTTGGTTTGTTCGTATATTTCTTGAGTTTCTTCTTTAGTCTTTTCTTCCTTGTTTAATGCCTGATGTTTTGTATTAAATTCTGCTAATTTTTCTACAAATATTTGTAAATTTTCATGATAAAATGAATAAATGATTGATTTTGCTCTGTCTCGCAATTCCGTCTTTTGAGTTGTAAATTCGTCCGAAAGATATGGCACGCCTTTAATCAAAATTTCAATGCTTAGAATATATTTCTCTACTTCTTCCTTCTGGGAAATCATTTCTTTTATGTTATGCAAAGTCTCAGAAAAATATTTCAAATGTTTCTTTATTTCTTCTCTCATGGAACGTCGTTGTTTTTCATTTTCAATTAATTCTTTAATTTTTCGTACGTGTTCATTAATACTTGTCTCTAATTGTTGAAATTCTGTTTTTCTAATACTAATCTGTTTTGAATATTCCTCTAATTTTTTTCCTGTTTCGAGTATCATCGGGTTCCTTGATTTTATTGTGCCAATAAAATCTAGGAGTTTCTTACATTTTTCTAGGGAAGTATTGATTTTGTTAGTTTCGTTTCTTTTCTTTTCTATTTTTTCACTTTCGGTTATATTTAAATTAAATCTTTCTTTTATTGTTGTAATTAACCCCTTTGTATCTTTTAGGTATTCTTCTAATTTGAGCATTTTCTGATCTAAAATCTTCTTAGTCTCTTCTATTTGTGCATTTGAATAAAGTATATGTTCTTTTATCTGCTCGTAAATAGAAGTGTGTAATGATTCTATAGATTTTAAGAGTTCTTCAGAAGCCAACATAACAGCATGAATACCTGAGATAGAATATAAGGAGGATGTACGAATACTTATTATGTTGTTGAGCCCATCCACGAATTTTCCAAAAGTTTGATCAAGTTTTTCTTTTTTCTTCTCGGACACATATCTCAAGATTTCTAAATTCTCAGTACTAAATTTAAAACTGGAATAAACGTCGGCTAATTTGAAGAATTCTGTTTGAAGTGTAAATCGTTGGAAGTAGTTCCAGAATTCTTGTTTAGAAAGCTTTCTTATAGTGTCACTTGCTCCTGTAACTTTCCTTAAGTGAAGATCCATTTTTTCTACAATATATTTAATTTCTTCTAATACAAATTCTGTTGTTTCAGAGGCAAGACTTCCATTTAAGTGTTGTTTTACTCTCTTTATTATATCTTCACCGGACTTTTGTATTTTCCTCGTTTCATTTATAAATGAAGTAATTGATTTAACGTTATATTGTTTAACCTTCATTTCGCGAAGCGTCACCATATCATAATATATATATGTTTGACAAAGATTTAGCCAGATGCATGATATGTCATTTACAGTATTGTAGATAATTGACCTAGATTCCTTAATACTCTTCTCATTTTTCTTATAATTTCTTTTTAAGCATTGCTGTAATGTATCAATTTTCTCTTTGTATTTTTGCTTCTTAGCACTGTATTCACTTTCTCGAATTCCATTTATCTCTGGATTTTCCAGATGATATACTAAAGTATTCATTTCTCTTGTTTGATCTGAGCATTCCTTCATATTTTTATATAACACTTTGTCAATGCGCCTTATTTCGGAATTATACGTTTGGTCGATTACCCCCTCCAATTCGTCGTAATGCTCTGCATAAAATTTCAGTTCGCTGAAAGCATAAATTTCACGATTATATGGAGCCCATAATGAAATCAGACTGTTATCGTCATTCATGGCATAAACATAATTCACTCTATTAATTTCAATAGCTGATTTCTGGGCGCCACTTTGAGCTTTCTGTATGAACGTATTTGGAATAGTAATAATCTCTTTCTGTATATATTTTTTATCATTATTTTTTGCATTGACAGGACATGTATTGTCCTTATCTAGATATAAATACCGTGAAACTTTTCTTGGAATTTTATAATTTCTTAAGGATATATAGGATGAATTATTTCGTAAGTGAGTCGTATTTACGTTTTCGCTACTTACTTTTCTATGGTCATTAGAATGGTCATTACTGTTGTCATTGTCACTGTTACTATTATTTTGTTCATGTCCATTCGCTTCACTGTTCTGTCCGAATTGGTCACTTTCCATAGATGTGACATGTATTGGAGGTGGCGTGAAATCCGTTCTTCGCCGGTTAGTTCGGTTTCCGTTATTGTCTTTACATGATTCTGGAAGAATGAATAAAATAAGATTTAAAAATGGTGTAAATGAAAGCGCATCTTAAATATATCGTCTTATGAAATTAACTGAACACAAATGCAGGATGAAAGAGTGGAAGCAGGTTAATGTGTAAAAAGGTGAATATGTGAAAGGATGAATATATAAAAAGGTACAGATATAGAAGGAGTACATATGTAAAAGGGTAAGTGTGCATAAAGCTAAATATATACAAGGGAACCTGCACAGATACTCTTGCAATTTCCGGCGTTAACACATTCAAGGGTCCAGCTAAATAAAAAAATATACGAGTTATTTAATTTTACCGGAAAGAATAAAAACGAGGGTATAGGACACCACAAATAATAGGTTCTTTCCCATATTCAAAATAGTGCAACTATGCTTCTTCTGTAAATAATTTAAACTGTTGTACAAGTGGCCTTATACAATTTCGTAGAGCCCCTACTGAGTGGAAATTTATAATTAAAGGATTCAGTTGTGGACGTTTTCAAAACGGAGAAGTGGTTTAATCTATCTGTATTTATTACCATTACTGTTATTTAGGAATGTAATATAAGCAGTTAAGCTCTCAGTGGCAGACGTGCGAAGAGAATGGGAAACTATATATTGCTATATTGTGGAAGCCCAAGGAAACATTAAGAATGCGTCACAAAATACAATCATAGTTCTAATTTAAAAATTGACTCAAAATTATCAACTTATAGAATCGAATAATTAAGGTATAATTAATATGAAGTGAAACAACAAATAAGAAATCTGCCCTGCGACAGGATTTCAATGAAGTTGTCCCAACACAGCTATAATTT